ATTCGACAGAATTATGAGGATGGTGACTACATGGAAGAGGAAGACAATGATCGCTTGGAAGTTCTCCCACGCCTCACGACATATTCGCTGAGAGGGGTGGTGGAGTGGCGTGGTGCAAATGGACAGACCCTGTCGATCGCGCGAGACCCCTGGCCATCACGACGACCCGACAGAAGACTACTCGGGCGTCGCCGCAGGCCCAGTTGGCAACGAGGCCCGAAGCGAGGCAGGGTCGACTGCACCAGCGCGGAAGCTGGACGGGGGCACCGAAAAGATGAGCTCGAGGCGAACGAGCCCACGGAGTGGAGCATGGCGAGGACTTGATGCACGCGGATGGTGCTGGAGATGACACGTCGGAAGATGGCGGCCCTGCTCATGGAACCGGTGCCCGCGACCAGTCGGGTGACGCCGTGCGCTTGCACGACTGGACTCAACGCAGGCAGTGATTGCACTGCCACGTTACGCGGCTGCGCTGTGGGTTGTTCGGGTCGGGAGAAAGGGGGGGATAGCAAAGAGGGGGGTTGAGAATCAGCTCACGTAGCTGATTTTCCCGGCGCCTCCCGGCGCCAGAGGCGACGACGTATCGAGGAATGAGCCCCTCGGTGGGGCCGAAACCAGCTGCATGCAGCAAATTTCGTAACCCACCATTTCCCAATCCCCCCCTTTCGTCCGGCCCGAGTTGTGATGAGGTGACTGGTTGTCATCCCGTTTTGATTCTGATCGCGCTGGCCTCCGCGGCGCGAACCGCGCGAGGACTCCACGTCACCTGAGCTCGAAGTTTTGCATCGCGCGCGTGCGCAGCACGAGCTCATGCCTCCTGCCCGCCCTTCCCCGGCCCCCGACGAGAACTCGAAGGGGACTGAGGGGGGCGAGGGAGGCAGGGGCAGGCGAGGGAGACCGCGAGGACCGAGGGGCCGCGGGGAACCTCGGGAAGGGACGAGGGGGACCGAGGGGACCAAGAGGGACCGAGAGGACCGAGGGGAAGGATGAAGAGGATCGAGGGGGGCCGAGGGGAGGGATGCCGGAGACCAGGGGAGGGCCAAGGGAGGGGATGCGGGGAACAGAGGGGGGCCACAGGGAACCGAGGGCACGGAGGGGGGGCCGAGGGAAACGATGAGGGGGATTGAGGGTGACGCAGGGGACCCGTGGGGGGACAAGGGAAGGGATGAGAGGGGCCGAGGGGGACCGATGGGGAACCGATGGGGAACCGATGGGGAACCGATGGGGAACCGATGGGGAACCGATGGGGACCGAGGGGAGGAGGGAGACACGCAGGGGGCCGAGGGGAGGATCGAGTGGACCGAAGGAAACAGAGGGCGGGCACGAGCACCGAAGGGGAGCTCGATGTGGGCCGAGGGGGCCGAGGGACGAGACGAAGGGGGGGCCCAGGAAAGCAGGGCGAAGCGGATGATTACGACGATGATGGTAATGGTGTGATGGTGATGGTGATGGTGATGGTGATGGTGATGGTGATGGTGATGGTGATGGTGATGGTGATGGTGATGGTGATGGTGATGGTGATGGTGATGATGGTGATGGTGATGGTGATGGTGATGGTGATGGTGATGGTGATGGTGATGATGGTGATGGTGATGGTGATGGTGATGGTGATGGTGATGATGATGGTGATGGTGATGGTGATGGTGATGGTGATGGTGATGGTGATGGTGATGGTGGTGATGATGATGATGATGATGATGATGGTGATGATGATGATGAGGATGATGACGAGGATGATGATGATGATGCTGATGATGCTGATGATGCTGATGATGATGGTGAAGATGATGGTGATGATGACGCCGATGATGATGACGCTGATTATGATGATACTGATGATGGTGGTGAGGATGATGGTGATGATGATGATGATGATGATGATGATGATGATGATGATGATGATGATGAAAATGACGGATTATGGGGATGCACTCCAGGACACGTTGCCATGTTGTTCCTGTGCAACTCCGGCCAGCGAGTGACCTGCTAACACGTGGCAGTGGTATTGGAGACGTCTGTGGTTCAAGCTGCCCCCCCCTCCCCCGCCTACTCTCCGTGTAGACTCGCAGCCTCAACAAGATGCAGTTATTGTGCCGATGCGGATCCCTAGCTGTACGTCTTGTGTGTTCTTGCCTGATGGCAGCCGCTTACGCCCGCGAGCAAGATGAAGCGGAAGTGCCCGTGGCGGTCTAATCCCACCAGCCCTTTGGGCGTGAGTGGTTTAGAGAGCCCGCTCTGTCCTCAACCCCCCTTCTTCCCCTTCGGGGAGGGGTTTACCCCTCCCCCTACCCCCTCCCTCTGGACCTAGAGAGGGGCCCCCGCGGGTCGTCAGGGGGGTCAATTCCGACTCCTGGAAGGGCCAAAAAACGACGACCCTCACGAGGATTCTGGCCCCGACGGGGGGAGGGAGTTTGGCCCCTCTGCTCTTCTTTGAAGCCAAAAACATTGATTTTACGATGGTTTTGGCCCCATTTTGGCCTCCTGAGGGGGCCGCGCTCATCTTCCTTCATAGCAAAATCATTGATTTTAAGGTTTTGGGCTCATGTTGTCCTTCTCAGGGGGCAGCGCTCCTTTGCGCTTCTGAGGAGGTCGCAAGAGGCCCCAAGATGGCCCCAAGAGGCCCCCAGGAGCCTCCCAAGAGGCCTCCAAGAGGCCCCCAAGAGGCCCCCAAGAGGCCCCAAGAGGCCCCCAAGAGGCCCCCAGGCCCCACGAGGCCCCCAGAGGCCCCCAAGAGGCCCCCAAGAGGCCCCCAAGAGGCCCCAAGAGGCTCCAAGAGGCCCCCAAGAGGCCCCACGAGGAGCCCGAACGACTCACACCAGGACGAGGGGCCCGAACGACTCACACCACGAAGAGCCCGAACGACTCACACCACAAGGAGGGGCCCGAACGACTCACACCAGGACGAGGCGCCCGAACGACTCACACCACGAGGAGCCCGAACGACTCACACCACGACGCGGGCCCCGAACGACTCACACCACGAGGAGCCCGAACGAGTCACACCAGGAGGAGGGGCCCGAACGACTCACACCAGGATGAGGGGCCCGAACAACTCACACCACGAGAAGCCCGAACGACTCACACCAGGACGAAGAGCCCGAACGACTCACACCACGAAGAGCCCGAACGACTCACACCAGGAAGAAGGGCCCGAACGACTCACACCAGGACGAGAAACCCCAAACGACTCAAATCACGAGGAGCGCTTTCTCTCCCTCCTCCTCCGCCTCGTCCTTCTCCCGCTCCCCCCACAAGGAGGATGTACAAGGAGGCGGGAGGAAGGAGGAACAGGGGAGATATGCGGGGCCAAGCGGACATACGCCTGAAAAACACGACTGTCGGCATGCTTCGCAAGAGTTGCTGCTGTGAGACGGGCTGGTGGGGATACGCGAAGCGTAACGAATTCGTTACTCAGCCGGGGGCTCGCATACTCGTCGATCCATCGCCGCCGCCTGACCCGCGGGCAAAACCCGCCGTGCATTCTGGCGAGACACCGCGGAAAACTTTGTTTGGAAATTCACTTTTGGAAGACATTGACGATGGCACCGGCGCGCGGGTTGCACGTCATTTCGTCTTCCAGCCTCTTGGGTTCCCAATGATTTAGACGGGCGTTCGGCGCTGCGTCAGCACGAGTTGCCGATCACTGCAACGGCGCGCCCAGCTGAGCCTAGAGCCTCGCTCTCCATTGGCGCGTCGACTTGGCAAGGATGAATAATCGTCGCATCGCGTGCTTCGCAGCATGTCAGTCTCTGTTGATGGCCGAGGGGTGCATTCCACGAGCTTAGTAAGACAGGCACACAAATGCAGACATTGGAATTCTGATTGTTCCCATTGCGTTCGCGATGACTGTTCGTCATCCCCCGTTAGGCGGCAAGTGCGGTTTAGTCTGGAGTTGGCATGCTACGAATTTGGATAACATCCCCATTCAGCGGCGAGCATATCACAATCTCCGAGCCCTTTAATGCGCCGTCCAACGCCAAGCCGAAAGTGAAGGTGGATTCTCCAGCAACGGAGGTCTCCCGCGCCAAAACGAAAAGCCCGGACCGAGACAGAGAAGATGAATTTGCTACACGACGATGGCTACGCCGAGGCGATGGACAGCATTGTGGAGAGCGTGACCTGGTCGTTGTCAGGCCACCTGATCATGAGAGACAGGACCCTGGATGTGCGGAAGCAGTTCGTACCCGAGTCAAGCCTCCCGTCCGAGATCGGTGGCCCGTGGGATCCAGGCAATGACCGGACGAGGGGCGGAGATGTGCTTGGCGAGAAGCAGTCAGGAGCACGAACAAGTGCTGACAGGACCCCTTTCACGAGTGCGTTTGTAGTGTGTGAACATGTCTGTGCGTGCGCGTGCTATGTGCTATGTAACCGCTCTGGGTCAGACAGGCGCGCCTACTTGGGACGCGGGCACCCGCGGCCATAAGCAGCAAGCAAACGGGACCATCGCGCTCGATACCACTCGCGGCTGGCATTCGCGTCCTCTCCTGCCCCATCCACCTCTCCCCACTCCTCCATCCTCCCCCTCCTGCGGTACGACGTCTCACCCAACCCGTTATTCCACTGCATGCTTCTCCATATCCCTGATCAGGGCAAATCGTCTGGGCATCGTTTCTGGATGGGCCGGTGGGACTACGCAACCACACTCGAAACCCACCCCTGCGGGCCCGCCGTCGAGTCACAACTGCGGAGAGAGGGGCATGGTCCGAGGGGCGTTCGTGGCAAAGCAAGCCCCGCAGGGAGGCATCGGACTCCCCCTGGCCCCAAACACACTCGGGAGCGGCCAAGAGGGGGGTGTCCAAAAGAGGGGGGGGTGCAAATCATGACCGGCGGCATATGCGCGGCCCAGCGAGGGGGCCAGGGACGGAATAAAGTAAGAAGAGGCGCCATGAAATCTGGGGAAATATCATGGCCCCCGCCATGATATCCACCCCCCCTAGTCATCCCCCCCCTCTGTGCCGCCCCCGACGAACACGCCCAGGGTGCGAGGGGAGGGGCCGGGCTCCTGCGCGAGCGCGACCTGGGCGGAGGGCTCCGCCGTCTGGGGGGGCTCCTCGGGCGCCCGCGGGCTGCAGACCACGTCCACCCTCTCTAGCTCCTCCGCCGCTCCCTGGACCCCCCTCGCCAACTTGCTATGTTTGCCCCCGTCCTTTCTCCCATGCCCGTCGCATCTTCCCTCGGCACCTCCTCCCCAGCATCCCAATCTCCCCATCCACCGCTCTCCCTCCCGCTGCCCCTGATCTGCAAGGGGGGGGGGGCTCTCGCAAGCGCGAACCTCGGCGACTCGGGCGCCCGCGGGCGGGCATGTGGACCGAAGGAATCTCCAGGGTGCAGGGCGAGAGATGTAGGGCGAAGAGATCTACTGCTCTGTCCAAGCTCCGACGCGCATCCGCACAGCCTCATTCATGCGCACCGCGAGCAGTAGGACCCTGACAAAAAAATGCCCTGGCGAAGGACCCAACCATATGCAACCGGAGTTCCTTGTGGGGGTTACCAAACCAATGAAGATGTGCTGACTCGAGCGCGGGTACGCCATGCGGAGTTTTCCGCTGTGGTCTTCGGCGGAGACCCCTATGAGGCCACGAATGTGTGAGGGATGTGCCGAATCGGGTGCGGGTACGCCACGCGGACTGTGCCATTGGGGACTTCGGTGAAGCTCCCTGTGGGGCCACGAAATCGTGTGACGGGTGTGCCGAATCGAACGCGGCGCGCTACGCACACAATGCCATTGGGGCCTTCGATGGAACTCCCCGCGGGGCCACGACGTGTGTGAGAGGCGCGTCGAACCGGGCGCGGGTACGCCGTGCGGACTGTGCCGCTGGGGTCTCTGGTGGACATCGTAGCGAAAGCCACAAAAACGTGTGACGGGTGCGCCGAATCGGGCGCGGGCACGGCGCGCGGGCTTGCGGCCTTCGGTGGAGCCCCCGCACGGGAACACGAGGAGTGTGAGGGGTGTGCCGAAACGGATACGGGCACGCCCTGCGGACTGCGCCACTGGGAGCGCCGGTGACGCCCCCATTATGCCACCCTGGGGCCTTCGGGCGAGCCCCCAATATAGGGCCACGAAGTGCGTGGGGTGTGCCGAATCGAGCGCGGGCACGCCACGCGGAGTATGCCAATGAACCCTCTGGCGGAGCTCCTCGTGTGGCCAGCCACGAAACGCGTGAAGGAGGGAGGCCGAATCCGGCGCGGGTGCGCCATGCCGACTGCGCCGCCGGGGCCTTCGGTGGAGATCCCCATGCAACCACGAAACGCGTGATGAACGTGCGGCTCGGCTGCGGGTAGACCGTGCGGACCCAGCCATCGGGGCGCTCGGTGGAGCTCCCTGCGGGGCCATGAAACGTGTGAGGGGCGTGCCGAATCGAGCGCGGGTGCTCCACGCGGACTGCGCCACTGTCGCCTCGGTGGACCTCTCAACAAGAGCCACCGAAATGTGCAAGAGGCCAGCCGAGTCGGGCGCGGGCGCGCCACGCAGACCGCGCCACTGGGGCCTTCGGAAGAGCTCCCTGCGGGGCCACGCAGTGCGCGCGGGGTGCGCCGAGTGGGACGCGGGCACGCCTTGCGGACCCTGCCGATGGGACCTTCGGCGGGGCTCCCTTCGGCGGTGGACAAACCTCCCTTTAGCAAACCTCCCCTTAGCAAAAGCGGCCTGGAACCGAAACCAACGGGCCTGGACCCGCAAAAACGCCGGTCGCGACGCCCTCTCTCGAACCGAAAACGTCCAATTCCTTAATCGACGTGTCTGGGTAGGAGCTCTATCCAACCCCGATCCCAAGGGGGCCATGAAAAGTGCGAGGGCGCGCCAGATCGGGCGCGGGTGCGCCACGCGGACTGCGCCGCCGGGGCCTTCGGCGGGGCTCCCTACGAGGCCACGAAGCGCGCGATGGGCGCGTCGAACCGGACGCGAGCACGTCAGTCGGACCCTGCCGCTGGGGTTCGACACATGATTGCGGGGTTTCGAATCGGGCGCGGGTACGCCGCACGGACTGCGCCGCTGCGCTTTCTGTTTTTTGTCCACGCTCTGCGCGGCGCTCGCTGCAAACACCGCCCGCTCGAGAGAGCCGCCCACGACGTCGACCGCGAAGCCGAGGACGACCACGAGGCCACCGCGGCCGCCAGGCGCCTCAGGCGCGGGGCCCGCCGCCATCTGCTCTCCCAGGAGTCCACCCAAAGCGCCGGCGGGCCGCCAGTTCACGGACTCCATTATACGCCAGCGGTCCACGGCGAGCTGGGGCTCGCACCCTGGCACCTGGCGCGGGAAGTCGTCGGCGAGCGCGACGGCGTCGAAGGAGCCGCACCTCGAGGCCGCCGCGGCCGCGGGGCCGAGCCTCGCCGCCGAGCGGAGCTCCAGGCGACTCACGACTGGGGAACGCCCCAGCAGCGCCAGCTCCGCCAGCCGCAGGCAGCGCACACGCGGTCGCCGCACCCAGCTCCGCCGCCACCGAGGCCGCGACAAGATGGGCCGTGCGCCGCCGCCGCAGCCGCGCACGGGGCATCGGGGCGTCGGCCAACTCGTCGTCGAGGCTGGCCGTGTCGTCGTCCATGCGGGCGTCCGCGAGCTTCGAGGGCGCCGCCGCGGCGCGCGTGGAAGCACCCCGGCTCACCGCCGCAGGCACCCCCCCGCCAGCTCAGCACCACCTTCCCTCCTGTCGCCTCACCTTCAACGCAGCACGTCGCCGACGGCGACGCTCCGCGTTCTTGTCGCCACCCGCCGCGGCACCACCACCAGCAGTGGGCTCGGCCGCCCTCGACGCCACAGCGAGCGCCACGGCGGAGATGGCCGAGCGCGCCACCGCGCCCGTAGTGCGCCTCGGCGCGCCAGCGTCGACCGCAGCACGGACGGCAATTGCGACGAGCACAGCGCCATCGGCCACAGCCCGAGCCCCTCTAGCCTCGCCACGAGCAGCCATCACGGACGGCCGACCCAGGCAAGGCATGCGATCGTTTGAGCCAATATGTGCCACTGGAGCCTTCGGTTAAGCTTCCGATGGGGCTACGAGACGTGAAAGTGGTGCGCCCAGTCGGCTGCGGGTACGCCACGCGGACTGTGCCACTGGGGCCTTCGGAAGAATTCCCTGTGGGGCCACGAAACGTGCGAGAAGTGTGCCGAACAAGGTAGTGGAAGCTCCATGTGGGGCCACAAAACGTGTAAGGGCTGTGCCGAATCGGGTGCGGGTAAACCATACGGGCCCTGCCGTTGGGGCCATCGGTAGAGCTCCCTCTGGGGCCACGACATGTGTGAGAGATGTGCCGAATCGGATACAGGTACGGCATGCGGACTATGCCGCTAAAGCTTTTGGTTGAGCCCACGAAACGTGTGAGGTGTGGGCCGAAACAGGTGCGGCACTGTGCCGCTCAAACGTTTGGTGGAGCTCCCTATGCGGCGACGAAACGTATGATTGGTGTGCCGAGTCGGGTGCGGGCATGCCATGCGGACCCTGCCGCTGGGGCCTCCGGTGGAGCTCCTTATAAAGCCACGGAACGTGTCAGGGTGTGCCGAATCGGGTGCGGGCACGCCATGCGGACAGCGCCATTGGGACCTTCGGTGGAGCTCCCTGTGGGGCACGAGACATGTGAGGGGTGTGCCGAACTGGCAGACAAGCGGAAGGCAGAGGCAGGGATGGGAGGAGGGAGGAGGGTGAGGAAAAAGGAGTGAGTGACGCGGGACGCCGTCTCTTCAATACGACGACCCAACACAGGATGGTCGGAAAAAAACTCGCGAGGGACCCAACCCTTAACAGCTTCACGTAACGTTAGTGGTGAACCTCTCTATGCACGGCCCGTGTGAGGTGTATGCCGAAGTAATGGGAAAACGTATGCAAACTTTCCACCTGGGGTCATGTGTGGAGCTCCCTGAAGGGCGCGACTCGTGTAAGGGGTACACCGACATGCGCGGGGAAAATGCAAGCTATCCCACTTGGGCCGTAGGTGGGGTTCGCGTGAAGGGTGTAACGAAACGGGCAGAAGTACGCATGCAAATCTTCCCATTGAGCCGTGGGCAAGTTCCTATGAGGCGCGATCCTCGCGAGAGGTGCGTGCGCCGACGTCATGGGCGGCGCCACCATGCGGACCCTGTCGCCAGGGTCGTACGTAGAGCTCCTTTTGGGGCTGTGATCCTTGTGAGATGTGTGCCAGAACGGGCGGCGCCGCCATGCGGACCCTTCCACTGGCGCCGTTTTCGGAGTTCCCATATGCGACCACGATTCTCGTGGAAGGTGCGTTGAAGGGGGGGGCGCCGCCATGCGGACCTTCCCACTGGGGGCGTAGGGGGCGCTCCCTATGAGGCCACGATCCCCGTGAGGATGTGTAGAAGTGGACGGTGCCATGGTGCGGACCCTGTGGGCCTAGATCCTCGTGAAGGGTGTGCCGAAATGGACGGTGCCGCCATGCAAGCCCCATAAGTGGTGCCGTAGGCGGAGCTCGTGAGGAGCACGAAGCGTGCGTCGGGCGTGCCGAAATCGGAGCCGTCGCGCCATACGTTGGTATCCTCTGAGACCGTAGGTGAAACTCCTTATGGGGCCACGAAACCACCAAACATGTGAGGTGCGTGCTGGTTTGAGCGCGGCGCCACCAAACGTCGGCGCCCACGGGGACCTTACGTGGAACTCCCCATGGGGCACGAAACGCGTGAACGGCGTGCCGAAATGGGCGTGGCACCGCCATACGTCGGCGCCCGCTCAAAAAACAGTCGGATTTTCCATTGGGGCACAAAACGTGTGAAGGCCCGAGGATAACAAATGCCAGCTTCACAACTGATGGAGAGGGGACTCCACCAGGTTAGAACAGGCCGAACAGAGAAGAGGACGAGGGGAAGGAGGGAAGGAGGGGGAGGAGCGAAGAAAGACATGCCCAAGGCGACCGACGAGCGGCCGGCACGAGACATGAGCTGTACACGCAGATCGACTACACGCAAGAGTGACCCTGGGTAAGAGTGACCTTTGGTGCGCGGCTTTTTGGGTCCCAGGGGGGGACCAAAAACGAGCGCGCGAGACGCAACTACCGCATCGCGTTTGGCGATCGGGGGGCCCCATTGGGCCCGCACCAAAGGTCACTCCGGCGAAAGGTCACTCTTACGTGTAGTGGAGCAGAGCCGGACACCAGGCACGCAGGAAGGGGCCAGCAGATGCTCCGCGGGCCGCTCCGGAAGGGCGGGCAGGGCGGGCGGGAGCCGAGGCTCGCCACGGCCGCGCTTCCTGAGTCACCCTGTGGGGCGCAGCTTCCTGCATGCTGCAATGAGAAGACCTGGGTACCAACGGCAGATCGGGAAGAAACAACAAAAAAAAAAAAAAAAAAAAAAAAAAAAAAAAAAAAAAAAAAAAAAAAAAAAAAAAAAAAAAAAAAAAAAAAAAAAAAAAAAAAAAAAAAAAAAAAAACGCACGACGGCACGCGACATCAAAAAAGCGCGAGACCCCTACGCCGCGAGACCGACAGCGCACGACCGTGGCGAAAGTGACTACACATGATATGCTAGTAGAGGAGACACGAAGGAAGGAGAGGGGAAGGAGAGAGGGAATGGAAGAGGTCCGATGCGCAACACAATGCTTCAGGAGGACGGCTCAACCCGACAGGGCCACATCGGTGACGCAGGCGCAGAGGATCGGCCGGCGCGGGGCCCGACGCGAAGGCAGAGCATGCCAACCAACCACAACAACAACAACAACAACAACAACAACAACAACAACAACAACAACAACAACAACAACAACAACAAAACGGCATGCAAAGGGCCATCCCTGGGCGGCGAGCTGGCCCATGTGCCGTCGCCACGCAGCCGCGGAGTGGAGGCACGGGGTGGGCCCGCGCACCAGGGAGGACGGCACACGCTATACAGGCACACGTAGTCTTACAGGAGAGACAAGACAGGCGCACAAAACGACGGCGCCGGACAGCGACGCGACAAGGCGACCACGGAGAGGAGAGAACGAGCGCGAGGCGACCGACGCGACAGCCCAGAGAGGAAGCAGAGAAACACGGGGACACCGGGACACAGAGGCCCGAGGGCACTCCAGCCTGCAAATTACACGTCGTGAACGTGCACACTAACGTAAGTGAACAAGGCAGACACGACGACGACGACGACGACGACGACAGCGACGACGACGGCGGCGGCGGCGGCGGCGGCAGCGACGACGACGACCGACGACCGACGAAGACGCGACAGGACGAGAACGACAGGGAAGGAACGGAACGCGCAGAGGATGTGCCGTGACGTGGGCGCGCGCGCCATGCGTCAGCGCTCACTGAGACCGTCGGCGGGGCTCCCCATCACTTCAAGGGAGAGAGTTCTCATTTCGAGGCGTCGTTTCGTGCTGTCCCGCGAGCCCAAGCAGCTCTGTGGCACGCGAGCTCCGTGGCGAAAGCCCTCGCTCCGCGGGCGCGGCGGGCGCCCGAGGGCCCCCCGCTCGCGGCCGCCCCCGGGGGGCTCCGTGGCCAGGCAGCTGCCGCCCAGGCCGCCCGCCCAACGACGCCTGGCATGGCCAGGCCTGGCCTTGTGGATGCCACGACAATGGACACCCTAACAGTCCTAGCATTGAATTTAAAATGTGTTTACAATGTCGGAAACATGTTCCAAACATGTGTTAAACATGTTTTCACATATCCAAAAAATGTTTCTTACATTTCTTAGGCGTCTGGACACTATCTGGCAACATGCTCCCTCTCCATTGATCGTCCTCCACAGCCCTGCTGCGGCCGCGACCAGGTCCGCACCGTCGCGACGCAGCTCCGCCGGGCGCTCGCTCGCCTCTCCCCCGACACGCGGCGGCGCCACCGGGTCGAGCCGCGCGCCGGGCGGGCCCGCCGCCGGCGGAGGCGGCGGCGCCCTCCGCGGCGGCCTCGGGGGTCGCCTCGGCGGCCTCGCCAGCGCTGGCGCCCTCTGGGACAGCGCAGTGCGGCGGCGGGTGCAGCCACGCTGCTGTCCGCCTCCTCGCTCCTCGGCGGCGGGTGCACCGGCGCGTCGAGAGCGGCCTCGAGGTCGCAGCGAACCTCGGAAGGCTCGCACTCTGCGAAACGTCATGTTTCGGCTCTCTGCGCCAGCTCCAGGACCCCTTCTCCGCCCTCCACTCCTGGTACCAGCTGGCCTTCGGCCCCTTGGCGTCGGATACGTTATTCCCTCTCGCACGCCGTCTTCGTGTGCGAGCCCGAGGCCTGCCCCTCGAAGGCCCTCAACCGTTTCGGCACCTGGTGCGCGTCCTTCCCCTGCTCCCGGTACTAGCTCACCCAGGCCTTGCGGCAGCCGCGCTTGGCCTTGCTGGGCCGCGGGCACTTGCGGTCCGTCCACGGGCCAAAACCCCTCTTCTTGTCCAACGTGTCCACAGTGAAAGAAGACGTTGCATCTCCCGCGCCGCTGAGTGGCGACACTTTGCGGCAAGGAGGCGCAGAGGAGGAGGAGGAGGAGGAGAAGGAGGAGGAGGAGGAGGAGGAGGAGGAGAGGAGGAGGAGGAGGAGGCGGAGAAGGAGGCGGAGGAGGAGGAGGAGGAGGAGGAGGAGGAGGAGGAGGAGGAGGAGGAGGAGGAGGGGGAGGAGGAGGAGGAGGAGGAGGAGGAGGAGGAGGAGGAGGAGGAGGAGGAGGAGGAGAGGACGGAGACGCGCACGAGCGTTGGGAAGCTTCGGTCGTTGTCTGCCTTCTCGCCGTTTCGCTTCCGAGTGGCTCTGGAGGCCTCGAGGTGGCCCCAAGGTTACCCAAGAGAGCCACAAGAGGGGCCCAAAAAGGGCCCCAAGGGAGCTCGAAGTCCGCCCAAGTGGTGCGCAATGACGCCCAAAGAGGGTCTCAAGAACTAGTTGTTCGGCCTCGGGGGGGGGGGGGGGGGGGGAATTAGCCCCTCCCCTTTTTCAAACATGCAGACGACCCTTCCAAAGAGAGCGCCACGACCCTTCCAAAGAGCGCCATGACCCTTCCAAATAGCCCCAAGTGGGCCCCAAGAGGGCACAGAAGGCTTCCAAAATTGCTCCAAGATGGCTCCAAGAGGTCTCGAAAGAAGCCTCAACGAGGCATCCAAGAGATTTCCAGAACGAAAGATCCACAACAGCATGCATGCCTCTAAACTTCCCTGCCCAAAGCAAACCGCCTGGCGATCGTTTTTGGCTAGGCTGGTAGGGATTCGCGAAGTGTCAAGAATTGACACGCGGAGAGACGAGGAAGGAGGAGGGGGAGGAGGCGGCAGGAGGTGGGACGCGGGGGCTCTACTACCCAACTGAACACACGAGGACCCAACTCAACACAGGAGGGTTGGGAAACAAACTGCTCGTAAGTGGCCCGCCCAGCGGTCTCCCTGACGCAGCCACAGCCTCTTCGAGACCGTCTCAGGCTGCCAAGAGGCGCGCAACAAAAGGGGGCAGGGCCGGGAGGTGGCCTTCAGAGAGGGCCCTCCGCCACCTGGAAGGCGCGGAAAGCGGGCGGCTGGCAGGGGGCCGGCCCACTCTGCGGTGCCCGGCGCCCTCGCCCTCCTCGCACGGCCGCCTCCCGCACGCTGCCCCACCTGTGCACGACGCTGGCCAAGGCCGTCCAAGACGCACTCACGCTCGCAAGCCATACGCCGTCCGGCGCGGGGGCAGGAGCACGGTCTCAAGCAGCGGCGCAACATGGAGGATGAGACGCTGCGCCGGCGAAGTGGATCAAGAGGAGGAGGAGGAGGAGGAGGAGGAGGAGGAGGAGGAGGAGGAAGAGGAGGAGGAGGAGGAGGAGGCGGAGGAGGAGGCGGAGGAGCGGGGGGAGGAGGAGGGGGAGGAGGAGGGGGAGGGGAGGAGGGGGAGGGGGAGGAGGGAGGGGGAGGGGGAGGAGGGGGAGGGGGAGGAGGAGGCGGAGGAGGCGGAGGAGGAGGAGGAGGAGTCAGGACGACTCGAGGGGCCTCTGAGTCGGTCACGAACCTCTGGAGGGCGTCCTGGCCGCCGTGCCGAGGCTGACCCGGCCGGGGCCGTGGCCACGAAAGAAAGCGCCCCCCCCCTGGTGGCCCAAGAGAGCGCCCACAGAGATCCGCGGCCCTCCTCTGAGCTCCTTGCACGCGTAAGAGTGCTCAGACTCAAAGCAGAGAACTTCGGAGAAGATTTTAGAAAATCTTCATGTTTGCATTTTTGATGTCAATATGAGATCGGTTCCCGGAAGTCAACCGATAGTGAAATTCCCTCGGGAGAGCTGACTCACCAAGAAGGACCCCTGACCCTGTGGGAGGGGACCTGAGCTAGGAGGGCCAGAAAGATTAGGGACAGTGTCAGGTCGTGCATGTCCCCCTGCAGGCGGATGTTGGACGAAAAATGAGAGTTGACAAAAAATACTCCGAAATGGTCATCAAAACAATCAAAAAAGCGTCCCCATACTATTTTTTGACTATTTCTGAATATTCCTCCTGTAGAGGGACGTGCCCGACTTCAGGATAAGGGGGTCCTTGATGCAGATGCGCCAGGGCAAACCGCCCAGACTCCTGATCCCCACTGTGAAGACGGGGGCCTCAGTGAGGCCACGTCTTCATCGTGCTATTAGGGTTACAGTCGGGGCGTTGACCTAAGGAACCCTAGATAAGGAACGAGGCCCCTTTCTTCCAGAAGTTCAATTTCGATCTCCTATCGAGAACATCGGAAAACCCGAGGCAAGCTGTGAAACACTTAAGGAACGCGGAGCCCCTCCCCAACGAAAAGGGTTCCTTCTTCAGGGCCCCGACTGTAGGGGTCCTTGTGCCCTCAGTGCCCCTCCCCCCCGGCGGCGCCTCGACGCCGACCGCGACCGCCGCGGCGGACTCCTCCTGCGCGGCGGGCTCCGGCCCCTGGAGTCCCGCCGGCGATCGCCGCCGCAGCTGCGGGATCTCCGGGGCCTCGCCGCGGGCGTCCGTCGGCGGCTGCAGAGAGGCCGCGGCGGCGGCGCCGGCAGCGGTGGCCGCCCCTCGGCGGCCAGGCCAAAGAGGAGGGCCAAGGATCCAGGATCGAGAATCGATGAAGGGGCCCCAGGACACACAAATAAATACACACAAATAAAAAGATTCCCAGTATTTTCCCATATTTCCTGGGTTTTTGTCTTCCCCCCCACTTCCCATATTTTCTGGGGAGTCGACGACTAATTGTGTCTGTGTGTTTCTTTCCCCCCTGAATCGAGGCGTGTTTTTCGACGCTTTTCAGAATCTCTGGTAGCCTCTGGGGACCTCCGGGAGCATCCAGGACCTGCAGGGACCTCGGGATGGGGCAGGCGGCAGCGGCAGCGGCAGCGGCGCTGCTGCTGCCCGACCAGCATCGCCAAGCAGAAATACGGCACTGGCCCAGGACTCATACCTCCTGACCCATGTTCGACGGATACGTGTACGCATCGCACACTGACTATGAGCGCGGGTGGTTCAAGTCATGCACAAAGAAGACGAAGGAAACAGCACGAAGAGTGACAATGCGAGGAGGAACGGGAGGAAATCACGAAGGAGACGGGAAAGGCTTGCGGGGAGGAAGAGGAGAATGAGCAGGAGACAAGAGGTACGAGGTCGGAGAAGAAGAAACGCTGGCAGAGTAAGAAGAGTAGGGAGAGAAGGAAGAAGAGGTGGAGCGGGCAGGAGGAGCCCGCGCAGTTCCAGCTACAGCTGATCCATAGAAACGCGGGCATGTACTATTGACATGATGTCCATACACATAGCGGGCGCCAACATGTTCCAGCACTCATCATCTTGAACCAGCGGCCACTCGACAATAACCACTCGGTCGAATACCACTCCGCCAATTCGGTCAACCTGCCCGTGCACGTGGCCTGACTCACACAAGCCCTTATAGCGCTACTGGCAGCTGTTACCTCGAGAAGAGTGCCCCAAAGAAGCTTACACGTGAGGGGCTGTCCTCTAGCGAGTCGCCCAGACAAACTCCTACTGAACAGATTACTGCAAGCGAGGTGTGATCGCGCATCCACAGCTCTGGCATTCGGCTTCTGCCTCCAGGATCCTCGCTGGAAACAAACTACTTCACCGCGTGATACAACAGTAACGACAACGACCGTAACAGTGATAACAACAGCAACGTTGATCGATTGAAATGGTGACCACATTCTTAATAATAAGACAACAATAAAAATGAGTACAATGGTACAAAGTGAGAATTACACCAACATTAGCAACGATACGAGTCATGTAAAAACGAATGATGAGAATAATATTGCGGATGCCAGTCTTCCTGTTAAGACTGCTATCAAAAACAACAACCACAACTGCAGCAGCAACAACACCAGCAACAACAACAACACCAGCATCAACAACAACAAGAACAACCAAAACAACAAACACAAAACAACAAAAACAAAAACAACGACAACAACAACAACCATCACAACAACAACAACCATAACAACAACAAAAACAACAACAACAACAACAACAACAACAACAACAACAACAACCGCAACAACAACAACAACAACGACAACAACCGCAACAACAACAACAACAACCTCAACCACAACCACAACAACACCAACACCAACATCAACAACAACAACAATAACAATGACAATAACGACGACGACTATGACGATGACGACAACAACCACAACAATAGATATTCGTTTAAGACTATTCGCTCTTACCTGCTCGCGGGCCATTCAACACGTATATCCAAAACCCTCGATGCCCGCCCTCTTCGTCTTCGATCGTACCCTCTTGGGGTTATGTATCTTTCGTACCTGCAACGTGTACTTCGGATGGATGGATGGACGGAGAGAGGACGGATGGATGGAAGGAAGGGACAAGGGGGAGGGAGAATGATGGAGCACGAGAGAGTAGCAGGAGGGGGGCTAGGAGCAGAACCAGACGGGAAGATCGGGCAAGTAGACCCTAAAGGGCGGGTCGGGAAGGCGGGCATTGGCGGCCAGGTCGAGCAGGCGGGTTGCTGAAGCGTGCGTCCTGCATGAATCGCAAGGCAGCCTCGAGCGCGAACGCGATTCCCAAATAAATCATCACTACATCCACAGCGAAAGCGTGATTCCTGAGTGTCGAGGGCGCCGCGTTTGAAAGAAATGCGAGGAATTCGCACGCGAGAGCGCGGTTCCTCTATAACTTGTGGGGACGTCCCGAGCGAAAGCGCCATTTGGGAAAAAGGGCGAGGAAGGCTCAGGCGGGAGCTGCTGTTGCTGTATGTTGGGGGGGCAACAGAGCAGTTCAGGGACTCTTCGGCAGAGGAGACGGAGAGGGACGAGGAGGAGGAGGAGGAGGAGGAGGAGGAGGAGGAGGAGGGCGCCCGCCCCTTCCCCCACCCAAATGACGCGGGAGAGGTCGAGTCGAGTCGAGTTCACACCGAAAGCCGGCGGCTCGGCCCGTGCGCGTGGACCCCCAGACCTCTCGACGCGGCTCGGAGGCCTCAAGACGTGGCCCCCCAGGCGCCTCGACCCCTTCCCCGAGGCCAGCCTTCACCCTGAGCCGGGCGTCTCGACGGTCCAGGGGCCCGAAACTGACTCACAGACCAAAAAAAATACACAGCCTGCCATCGCTCGGACGTCCATTCCCCGTGCATGTCTCGGTTTCGTGCGTTGTTTTTTTTTGCAAAATGACCCAGTATGCTCCTCGATGGCCCTCGCCGAAAAAAATGCACACGCCCGAGCAATGCCAAGCACAGGAGTGAGCCGAGTGCCCCAGGGACTCGCAGGCGGACGGCAGCGGCGACGGCGGCGACGGCGGCCGCTCGGCGCACCGCGAGTCCGACCGCGGCATCGGCGCCGCCCGCGCGCCGATGGCTTCCGGGGACGCCCGACGCGCCAGGCAGCTCTGGCAGGGCAGAAAGGTCAGAGCCGGGAGATCCCAATGGAATGTCTACAGTAAGGTTTGACGGCGCGGGCAAGGAGGGATGAGTAGGGAAGAGGGACTGTTTTTGGATTTCCCTTGAAACTATCGGAAACAGCAGTTCCGCCTGGCAGCACCACCAGTGGCACCGCCCTAACCTGGTCCGCATCGCCGTGCCGCCTCGCTGGATGTCCAGCGTTGGAATCGAAGTACTGCCCAATCCGCGCCAGTCGATTGAGGCGCCCGGAAGGCTTGGACAGCCCGAACGGCCTGCACCGAAGAGTCAGCGCCACCCAACGGTTCGACGAAAATCACACGCATCGGTGTCAGAACACGTGCCGTCCCACGACCACCAAGTGGCACCATTTTGGCATTCGCTTCGGCAGTCGTATGCTCACGCTCCCTAGGAGCATGCACGTATCGCTTGGCAGGGTGAATAATCAGCTTGCATCCGTTCGCGCTGCCCCGCGGCCGCAGGGGAGGGAGGAGGGAGCGAGATGCGAAAAGGGAAGGAGGAGGAAGGAGGAAGAAGAAGATAATCGAACAGGGACAGGAGAGGGAGGAAAGGGGAGCAGGGAGGAGGTAGGATGAATGAAAAAGGGAGCAGGGGGAGGAAAGAGGAACGAGAAAGGAGGTGAGAAAGAAGACGCCCAGGGGGCACGGGAAGGTGTGCATGTTCACGATGCGCGTACACCCATGTGAAGTCTTGTCAAGCCTTGGCACGGTTCCATACCACATGTTGAGCTAGATGCTGTGGGGACCTGGTGCGCGGCAGCAAGCACGCGGCAGCCGCGCAGGGAGGCGAGAAGACTGTACGGCGTCCCCGATGGGGCCTGGCCTGAAGAGCCTCCTCCTCGCCTGCGCAAGAAACACCTATATACGCTGCCGGCTGGGGCGGAGGAGTCTGCAACGGGAGATCTGCAAGGAAAGCCTACGACGCGAAGGTTTCGCGGCGCAGGCAGCGGGGAGTAACTCAGAGAACGCGGCACGCTGCCCCGATCGCGGCTTCTCTGCTCTCGGAGGGGGGCCCGACCCACCCGCGCGCGGAGGCCCTGGTCGCGCAGCGAGGCGCCGCCGGTCGCGGAGCAGGACACCCAGCTTGCATCCTGCGACCTCGCGCGCAGGAGAGCATCCCCCCTCACTCTACAGTCGGGGCGTTGACCTAAGGAACCCTAAATAAGGAATGAGGCCCCTTTTTTCCATAACTTAAACTTCGTTTTCCTATCGAAGACATGAGGGAAACCTGAGGCAAGCTGTGAAACACTTAAGGAACGCGGAGCCCCTCCCCAACCAAAAGGTATCCTTCTTCAGGGCCCCGACTGTACCCTCACCCCCCATGCCCCAGCCTTTTTCCTTCTCCCCGCCACGTTTGCCCGCCGTCTCTCCGTGCCCACCTCTTCCCCCGTGCCCCGATCTCCCCCCCCCCCTCCCGCTCGCAAGCTCCCTGCCTCCGCCCCTCTTCTCTCGAGGTTCCCGGAAACCCTTCAGCCCAAAAAAAACGAATACGCATCGATCCTCGAACCTCGAACTCCGAGCCCTCCCCCACAGAAAGGCCACCTCGCCCCCCCGGGCCCAGGAGGCGACGGCCCCTCCCCCCCGCCCCACCCCACCGAGGCTGCGCAACGTCGCCCACCCCCCCATACGGAGGTCACGCCGCCTCCAGGGATGCAGCGTCGCCCAGGGGGTCACGTTGTGTGGACCTGCGTATGGGGTTCGAGTAGGTACAGGACCCCTGATCCGTAGGTAGAGGAAGGAAAGAAAGATAGGGATCTTTTCCTCCTGTGCGACCAGCGTCCTGGTCTCTTCCAGTACCTGAGCCGATAAGGCAAGCAAAAGGGCGAGTGAGGAGTAGAGATGAGGGTATGAGACAGGTTCCTTTCACACGTCGCACCCCCCCCCACCGCCCCGCGTCAAAGGCCTCCTCTGCCGCGGCCCCCGCCAGAGAACTGCCCCCCTGGAGCGACGGGGTCCCTGGCCGCCGGCGACCCCCCCCCCAGACAGGCGCGCGAGGCGCGGCCACGCGCGGGGGGCGGGCGCCCCGCGCTGGAACGAGGGAGCGCGGAGGAGTCGACCTCGTCGTCCTCGTCGTCGCCGTCGCCGCCGTTTCCTGGGCGTTCTCGGGGCCGCGGCCGGACGCGGCTCGAGAACCTGGCCAGGATGGAAGCTGGGGAGGTCCGGGGGCCAGTCTGGAATAGACTTCGAGGTCGCAGGAGGGAGGGAAGAGTTGGGAGAGAGGAAGGGGCTGGGAGGGAGGAGTCGGGGAGGGAGAAGCCGAGAGGAGTAGGGGAGAAGTTGGGAGCGAGGGAGCTGGGAGGAGTTGGGAGAAGGGGAGGGGCGGGCAGTGCTGGGAGGGCTCAAGGCGCACTGTCCTCCCTCTCTCTCTCCCCTCTCGGCGTCGGGCCGGGTGCGGGTGTGAGATGCGGGCCCGTGGGCCGCGTCCGGGCACGCGAAAGTCCGCCGCGGTGCGCTCGCGCGGCTCGGAAACGGACGCCGCGTGGCGCAGGGCGAGTGAGGGATAGAGGGATCTTCCTCCTCCTCCTCCTCCTCCTCCTCCTCCTCCTCCTCCGCCTCCTCCTCCGCCTCAACCTCCTCCTCCTCCTCCTCCGCCTCCTCCTCCTCCTCCTCCTCCTCCTCCTCCGACACCTCCATTTTCACCGAGTCCGCCATGTCCGCGTCCCGCGCGGCCCCGTACTCCTTTGGCAACAGAGGGTTTGCCCAGCCCCGCGCTGCGATGGCAGCCTTTGGCCAGGGCGCAGTGGGGCGCGCCCCACGCAGCCCGCGCCAAGCCGCCGACGCCATCGTCCGCCCCTCCGCCGGCACCTCCCCGTTCAGGTGGCTGGCAGCCTCTCCTCTGGGCAGCGAGTGGGGAAAGTCGGCAGCATCTTCCCTGAAGGCGCGGACAGTTCTGGCTTCGACAGGACGCTTCCAGCGTCGCCTGCCCGCTGGGAAAGCTGCGGCGAACCACGAGCGTGCGGCGATCACGGACGTTTCAGGGAGGCCCCCGTGGAATGGGCCGGAGTCTCCGACCTGCCACTTTCCAAAATCGCGATGGCCAAGGAGGAAGTCCACTTCTACGAGAAGCACTCCTCGCTTGGCTCGTCAGGGGCAAACCAGAAGTGCATAAAAGCGGTGGAGCGCCTGAAGCGCCTCGAGGAGGAGAAGGAGGAGGAGGAGGAGGAGGAGGAGAAATGTCTTGCACTCTCCACCGAGGACCAGCACCAGGCCATGAGCGCCCAGCGCGCAAAAGAAAGCAGAGGAGACACTTGCGCAGGAGATAGCGGAGAGGGAGGACACTGGCGACCAGATTGAAACACTTCGACATCGCAAACCAGATCAAATGTCGAATTCAGACCCCTCATCCAGGAGATTCCAATCATCAGGGAAAGACGCGCGAGCGTGAATAGCCCCCAGTGTCGCACCGACTCCGTGACTCGGAGACTGGGGCTTCAGCCCCACGGCGGAGTTCCTTGAGACGGCCGCGCCAACGCACCGAGCCCCAAAAGGGAACCCGAGGAGGCTGCATGAGAGGCCCAGGAGGCCCCCAAAAGCGGAGCTTCAGAGGAAGCCAAAAAGAAGCCTCGGAGCGTCCCACGGCCGGGCTCCCTGTGCGGGCCGTACAAGAGCACACGGAGGCCGCAGGTGAGTGAGCCAAGAGCCCCACAAAAAATGGGCTCGGAGAACCACCGAGAAGCCGCCCTGGATGGGACGCACAGAGACATACTAGTACTATATGTCCTTCTTGGAGGCGCGCGTCCGACCCGAACATATGGTATACCCATCTTGTAGTATATCGTTTCCCGAGCGGCGTGGCCAGAAAGCGCCCGCCACGACGCACTTACTATAAGATTTCTCGGTGCGCGCGTCGCCCCTGGGGGGGCGACGCACATATAGTAGAAGTATGTTGGGGTGGCGCCGACGAGAAGCCGCCCTGGAAGCTCCCAAAGGGGGCCAAAAAAGACCCCAAGATGGGGCGATGTTGCGGCCGCCTGGGCGGACAAGCCCTGCCCCCGAAGCACAAGATGCCCCTTCCCCTCCTCTGGCCTGCTAAGGCATCCCCGAGTCGGTCACACAGCCGTTAAATCTGGCCTGATCAGGCGGCCCGAGACGAGGGACGTCGGCCACAGCCGTTCCATGCGCGGCAACAAACTCCACCGTGCCATACAGGGTGGTGACACCAGGTAGCTGGGCCCACAAGCGGGATCAAGGCGCCCCAAAGCCATATCACCTCAAGTCCTCCTCCTCCTCCTCCTCCTCCTCCTCCTCCTCCTCTCTCTCCTCTCCTCATGCCTCCTCCTCCTCCTCCTCCTCATGCCTCCTCCTCCTCCTCCTCTCCTCCTCCTCCTCATCATGCCTCCTCCTCCTCCTCCTCCTCCTCCTCCTCCTCCTCCTCCTCCTCCTCCCCCTCCTCCTCTTGATTCTCCGCGGGCCAGGCACGCTGTGCTTCGCCAGCGTCAGAGCGCTCCCAGTCAGTTCTCTTCCCGTGACCACAACGGTGCAAGACTGTGCACACGCGGATGGAGGACCGGAAGGCGTCGGACCCGAACATCCACGGACCAAGGCGGTGGCGCAAATAACAACCAACAAGACAAGGTTACGTGAGCACGAGGTTGTCGCACGTTGCAACTACCTCGTGACACGACTGTAGCTCATAAAACGGTTGTCAGCTTCTGCAATAGATACATTGACAAGCTCATATCAACAGTGACATGTTGCTGTCAGCAACAACGTGTTTCACTGTTGCGCCCTAGAGTCTGCGCACATCCACACTCGCTGACAGACGAACATGCACGTGCACGCAAATGAAGTCAGACATATCAGCATCAGCAGCTGGAGGCGTGGAAATTGCTGCACATTGATTCAGCCCTCACCAAGAAATCGCAGCATCCTGTTCCGTGTCGTGCGTCCGCGCATGCCATGGGTGTAAGGGCTCG